TGTACCTGCTCTGATGAGTGAGGATGCCAACCTGGCAACAACAGATGATGAGGAGGCTGAAGTACTTAACTTTTTTGCCTCAGTCTTCACTAGCAGCCTCTCTTCCTACACCTCTCAAGGGGATGGACCAGAAGACATGGACTGGGAGAGCAAAGCCCCTCCCACTGTAAGAGAAGATCAGGTTTGCAACCACCTGAGGAACCTGGATATACATAAGTCCATGGGACCAGATGAGATGCATCCAAGAGTCCTGAGGGAATTGGCCGATGTAGTTGCCAAGCCACTCTCCATGATATTTGAAAAGTCATGGCAGCCAGGTGAAGTCCCTGGTGACTGGAAAAAAGCTAACATTGCACCCATTTTTAAAAAGGGTAGAAAGGAGGACCCTGGGAACTACTAGCCTCTCAACCTCACCTCCGTGCCTGAGAAGATCATGGAACAGGTCCTCCTGGAAGCCATGCTGAGGCACCTGGAGGACAGGGAGGCAATTTGAGATGGCCAGCATGGCTTCACCAAGGGCAAGTCCTGCCTCACCAACTCAGTGGCTTTCTATGAGGGAGTGACCACATAAGTGGACAAGGAAAGACCCACAGACATCATCTATCTGGACTTCTCCAAGGCCTTTGATACGGTCCCCCACAACATTCTTCTGTCTAAACTGGAGAGACATGGATTTGATGGGTGGACTGTTCGGTTGATAAGCAATTGGTTGTATGGTCACTTCAGGAGGGTAGTGGTCAACGGCTCAATGTCCAGATGGAGATCAGTAACAAGCAGTTTCCCTCAGGGGTCTGTTCTGGAGCTAGTGCTGTTTAATATCTTCATCAATGACATAGACGATGGGATTGAGTGCACTCTCAGTCAGTTTGCGGATGACACCAAGCTGAGTGGTGAGTTTGACACCCCTGAGGGATTGGATGCCATCCAGAGGGACCTTGACAAGCTGGAGAAGTGGGCTTGTGAAAACCTCATGAGGTTCAACAAGGCCAAATGCAAGGTCCTACACATGGGTCGGGGCAACTCCCAGTATTGATACAGACTGGGGAATGAAGAAATTGAGAGCAGCCCTGCAGAGAAAGACCTGGGTGTCCTGGTAGAGGAGAAGTTGGACATGAGCTGGCAATTGCGCTTGCAGCCCAGAAAGCCAACCATATCCTGGGCTGCATCAAAAGAAGCGTGATCAGCAGGTCAAAGGAGGTGATTCAGCCCGTCTGCTCTGCTCTGGTGAGACCCCACCTGGAGTACTGGGTCCAGCTCTGGGGTCCTTAGCACAGGAAAGACATGGAGCAGGTCCAGAGGAGGTCCACGAAAATGATCAAAGGCCTGGAACACCTCCCCTCTGAGGAGAGTTTGGGTTGTACAGCTTAGAGAAGAGAAGACTCTAAGGAGACCTGATTGCAGCCTTTCAGTACCTAGGGGGCTTGCAAGAAAGGTGGGAATAAACTTTTTAACTGCTGTGATTTGGCAGGTTGGAATGATTAAACAAGGTTTAGTCGTGAAGAAGGAAGGGATCAATCTTCACACATCCAGTCATGTGGAAGTCCTACTCCCTCAGTCAGCCACATGTCTGCTGCTGCTCCCATGTTTACCCTGGTGGAAACCAGAGTGTAGTGGAGGATCGAAGAGGGAATGGTGGCTGCTGACACAGATGTGGGCTTTGCCCATTTTCAGAAGTGCTTACTGGCTACCTTGACTTTTTTTTATCTTCAAAGCCTACTAAATATTATATAAAAACAGATTGTGCTGGAGTTTTAGACAAAGGGTTAAAAGCTGTTGACTGATAATCATGAATTTTGAGTAGTCTCTGGGACCTGCTCTTAGAAGAGCTAGGAGATCTCTGCTGTCACTGGAGCTGCTGGCATGATTTTACTAGCCAGGGAGGGAAGGGATGAACACAGCATACTGGATAGACCTCTTAACAAACAAGGTCAGTGCAGCTGTTCCTGTGTACATGTAATCCACCAGTGTGGAATAGAGAGTTTCTTACACAATTAGCTGGACTTAAAGTAGCTGTTGAAAGAGACTGCACAGATATCACTGTATAAATTATTGAGCTGATGTCCTGGAGACAATAGAGAAAACCCTCCTTTATTCTGTCCTGAGGAAGGCGGCTCTGAAAGATTATACCTGCATCCTGAAAGGTGCACCTCCTGTAGACTCTGCTTAGATAATTAATTTGCAATATTCATCGGCCAGCGGATAGATGTAATTAATGTGCAGACAAACAGGAGGATTTTATACTTATGTATTAATTCAGGTGTGGTTTTTTGTGGCTGTGAGTAAAACTGTTGTTGAATAAATGGCCAAACCCCCCACCATTTTAAGGTTTATCTGGTTAATATTTATGAGCAATAGTTATAAGCATTAGTGAATCACAGGCAAGACATAGGCCTGCATGGCTGTACATAAGAGACTCCAAAAGAGGCTTTTTCTTAGCATCTGCAAAAGCACACAGTATGCCCAGGATCTGAATGGGAGAGCTGTGCTGTGCCCAATATCACCCATGTTCTCCCACATTCTGCATATGGTCCAGCTAGATCCCTGTGCTTGCTGGAGCACAGGGTCTCCCTCTGTACAAAAGTTTGCACCATTAGCTATGCCCAAATACAGAAAAGATATGGAGAGCAACCCTCCTCCCAAACCCTCCAACTCTCCCCTGTCTCCAGGAGGGATTAGGTTCCTCTTGTTGCATATCAACATTTCCAGGCTGGTTTCCACCTGGGCCTTTTCTCAAATTTGCCTAGGCATCGACTCCCCCCCATCTCTGATGAGCACTCACACCAGCAGTGATGGGAGGTGAAGGCGTACGCCCTGCATGCAGTGTTGTGCATGTCTGCAGGGACCTCTAGACAAAAGATCCTGCCTACTGTGTTGGAAACAACGCTTTACATACCGTTACCTCCCATGCTGCTGGTACCCAGCATTTTTGCCTGCTCCCCCTTCCCTTCCCCTTCTCCCAGAGGCACAGCTGAGACCCCTTGGGTTATGGAGACTTGTCACAATGACACAGATGGAAGAAGTGTCATGCCTAGAGGTGAAGGAGGCAGGCAGAGGTGTGGGCTGAGATCTACTGTGGCACTTAAAATTATGAGTGCCTGGATGCTTTCAGAGCTAAAAACACTGCCCATTTCATTCTCTTTACCCCTGGCTGGAATAAAAGACAGAAAGAGCACCAGCTGTGTGCCCTCTTGCTGTTTATCTGCTCAGCTGTGCTCCCTGGACATGTGTGAAGTGGTTGGAAGGCTTTATTGAGGGAAAACAAACCTGAAGCAAGCAGTTTTCCATTTTATGTGGCTGTTGTGAAAACTGTAGCTATTTGGTATATCAGGTGGTAAGTAAGCCCTACCACAGTGAAGCTGCTGTTTCTTGCATCCCCCAGACACCACTCCCAAGGTCTCTGGGGTCAGGGTAGGAGAAGCTCTCCTGGGGGAAGATCACTTATTAGAAGAGAGATGCTGAACTGCAGTTGTCGTGTAGGACTAATAAGAATGAAGCCAAGCCTGTTGATCCGTGTACACTGTAATTTCAGGTACACCTTTCTCTGAAACTGGTTTCCTCATTTCCTGTTGAGGACATATGTACTACAGCAAGAATTTCACTCAGCAAGAGACAATGTTTTAGGCTTACAGAGACATCTGACAATAGGCAGATATATCAAGGAATTTGTGGGAAACTCACCTACAGTCCTACCCCTAGGTACCCAAGTATCTTTGAGCAGTGGCTGCCAGCGCTGATGCATTTAAGTTCTCAGCTGCAGAAGTGCAGAGAGACAGATTAGAAAGAGTTCTGAAAATGGAGAAGTTGTTTTATACTGACTTGGCAGTTGTTGGCATTTTCTAATTTCGACCTTTAGGCCTCCAGATGGACATTTCTATAAAAGGTCAGATGATAAAAAATATCTCACAAGACAAGTTCCACACACAGCCCTCTGCTCTGCCTAGTGAATATTTTAGTGACCCATTTACAGCAAGATTTTATTGAACAGAGTAGGCAAATGCAGAGGGAAACTGAAGCCTCATCATCTCGTGACAATTATACGTCTGTCTCTATTTGTGTAATCCACCCTCTCAGCCTGATAAACAAGAGCTTGTGCGTGGGTTTCAAAAGGCAGGTGAGCATCACCTTCTGTGATCTGAGTATTTTCTTGCATACGGCTCAGCTAACCTGTAAAGCAGGTAAGTCTTAGCATTTGCATGGTGATATTGTTCAGGACTCCAGTCTTACCCTGAATTTCATTATGGCTCTTTAATCTCTCTCCTGGGGCTTGATCAACTAATGTTTCCCTTTCACCTAATTTCTATTTTTCGTTATTTTTCTGAGCCAGCTACTCAGCAAATAATTGCATTTCCATATTTTTTCTTGATGGTGCTTCCCTGTGTACCTTCTTACTGAATGCTTGATGAAGCAAACCCTCGGGGGTGCCTAGCTCACACTTGTTTATTCCAGGTAATTTACAGGGAAAAAGGTCAGCCCGAGCAAATGCAACCAAATAAATAAACCAATCCTTATTACTGGTGACGTTCCTCTAGCCACCTCAGAAGGTGATGTGGAGCCTTCTGTATAAATGCACATCCACTTTGGCCGTTGTAACTTGTTGATCTCATTTTCATGAGAAAACGTATGAATTAACATGTAGGAGGGTGTGCCTTCATTTTCCCTATATTTTCAGCTATGGGTATGAGAGATTTCCTTTTACAGCAGCTTTGCCTTTGCAAAGGATGCACAGTGGATTACTTTCTTAAATAAAGGCCTTCCTTTCCATTTACCTTTTCAAAGTAATTGCTAGTGAGCTCAGGACAATGTTTGATTTTATAATAGTCTAGCCTTGCTCACACACTGTTGACAGGATGGATCAACTGAAAACAGATTTTCTCAGTACTAGTAACAATTTCTCTCTCCAGCTAGCTCTCCATCCCCACCCTGAGACTGACCTTTGGTTTGGCTCCTGTGCAATGTCACTGACTCTGCGTCTTTACCCTGCAGCTCTCCCGCTTGCTCCTATGTCCACACCACTGGAGGATGCGATGGACACCTTGATCAGGATTTTCCATCACTACTCTGGCAAAGAAGGAGACAGACACAAGCTCAGTAAAAGAGAACTCAAGGAGCTCCTCACCAGTGAGCTCACTGACTTCCTTTCAGTAAGACGCCGCTCCTAAATCTCTTAATTTGCTGTTTCATGGGTGGGATAAGCAGCTATCAAAGTAATTGAGAATAGCACCTCCTTATGCAAGGCACATTCTGCCACAGCCTCTCAGATAACTTCGTGGAGCCAGATGGAAGGAGATGAGATCAAAAAGTCTGTTTTCAGAGGGTGGTCCATCCCTGGTGCCCTGCCCCGTGCCACAGGTGACAGAGACGAGTACCTGTGCTCCACTTACTCCTCTGCACTTTGAACAGGAGGGCAAGGGCAGCCTAGAAGCAGTAGCAAAATTGATGCTAAATCAGGCATGAAACAGTTTTTGTTTATTTGTTTGCTTTTAATAATAGGGCATAGGTAAGTCCTTCAAAAATTACATCCAGCAATGAGTTCTCGTGAGACAAGAAAGTATCTTGTGCACAATAGCCACAGACACAGTACACCTACTTGTGTGCCTTGCAGAGAGATGCTAAGAAAATCCTTTCAGTGTTTTTAATGCTGTGATTGGTGATATATTAGTATTCAGGTGCGTATTTCATGCAGCATTTTATTTAACAGCACTGGTTCTTGTGAGATACTAGTGGGTTGCACTGTCAGGTGTGTCAGAATTATGCATTGAAGATCTGCACAGCTAAGTCACTTTTTTTTCTCTTTAGGGCCAAAAAGATCCTCTTCTGGTTGATAAGATTATGAAAAATTTGGACTCCAATAACGACAATGAAGTGGATTTTAATGAATTTGTCATTCTGGTTGCTGCTTTGACTGTGGCATGTAATGATTTCTTTGAAGAACAGCTAAAGAAAGAGGAATTTAAAAATGCTTAATACAACCAATTTCCTGGTCACAAATGTGAGCGAAACACGCGTAGTTATGTAGCCCGCATCAGCGTTTAGTGAATGCAAACCATCATCTATCCAACTGTTACTGCTGTAAGACATTTACAGACCAGATCAGCAGCTGGTGTAGGCTGGACCAAAGCCAATTTACACTACTTAAGATCTGGCTTTTAGTATTTTCAGTCTTTGTGCTGCATGCATCTGTAACGCACATTCATCAGTTGTCCAGGTCAAGGGCTTGGGGTGACAAATCATTTAGCAGGCGTTGATACTTCTATTTCTTAAATGTCAGTAGGAAGTAAAAGGCACAGGAATGTTACTTTTATACTTTCTGAAATGGAAAATTTTGAATGAGACATAAAACTTCCAATTTAGTTTTCAGTCATTCTGTAACAAACATATTTTTGCAGCTCAAAAAGAGCAACTTGCTCTTCTGCTCAGCTCTGCTTATTCTAAAGCCCTTTTGAGATGCTGCTCCACACCTCCCCACACTCCCATATTTCAGATGTGGCCACAGCTGCCTCCTGCCACCTGAGCAGACACTACTGCTTGCCATTGTTACGGGTTCTTTTCCCCCACCTCCCCAGTTTCAATATTGTTGTGTTGGCATTACTGCTTCCCAGTAGTCCACCTCTTCACTCGACATAAATGAATTTATTCATATGATAAATTATTCAAATACAGAGAGGATTTAGTCAGCAAACTGCTCTGAGGGATGATGGTAAGACTGGGTCTTCAGGGGAAATGTAAGTGCCTTCTGCTTTCACTATTCTGGCACCCTTAAGAGGAGCGATTTTGAAGGACCACTTGTGGGGGATTAAATGACAGGATCCTAGGTTTCAGCTTTGTAATGTGAGTCATCTTATGGAACAATTATTTCGTCTCACACTGATCCAACTCACTGCATGGAAGTAATGCAAAAGGGGCAGGGGGACACCATGGCCAGGAACGGAGACAGTAGGACAATCCCTTTCAGTGTTAATCTACCCTTGGGTTGAATTAAGAGTACTTCTACACTCCTGTTTGAATTAAGCATACTTCCAAGCCCTGCAAATCCTCAGCAGCAGGATGTCATGGCTTTTTTCTTGCATGGAGGGCTCTTTTGGTTCCTTGTTATTTTCTTGGTAACTTCAAACTATAATAAAACACATCTGAGTAAATGAAGATTTTCTGTTTGTGTAAGAGGTTAAAAAAGTCACTCAATAAAGATATGCCCTGCTAGGCAACTTTTGAAGAATGCCTTTCAGTTGTCTCTCCTCCCTAGACTCCTGGGTATCATTCAGTAAAGACTATGTTTGTACATCATGTATCATTATGATGTAATTTATTATAAGAAGGAGATTCTGTAGGGTCTAATAAATATAACAAGGGGCAGACATCATCCCAACAAAGGGGCCACCACCAGACGATGTTATCCCAGAAAAAAATGAGACTTTGGGTGGTGGCAGATGCAGAATGTGCTTCCTCTTTAACTACTCAGTGACTGAAGTTATATAGGATTCATAGAAAATCTTATAGGGGAACACTGCAAAAAGTATTAAAGTAAAACTGACAACAACCGCACAACTTTTTGCCCCCTGCGATGTCATGCACCTTAATATCGTCACAGCTGTTGAACCAGGATGGCAGGAGTATCAGCCAGAAAAAGTAAAACTGCTTTTATGTTTCCCCATACATCCTGCAGACTGCTGCTGACCTCCAAGCCTTTCAAATTCGTGTGAGGGGAAGGGAGAGGAGAGCAGCTTCAAGCTTCAACCCAAAGCTAAAAGCAGTAAGATTGTCCCAGTAAGGACTATTTGTCCATTACAACTTTTGAGGAACAGGCTTTTTGGAAACAAGCTCCAGAAAGTTCATAAACCTTCTGGTCATCCCTGATGAGCCCCTGGATGCATAGCAGTCTGTGTGCCAAGCAGAATTATGCTAAGTCACAGCTGGTGGCAGCAATGTGCCCCAGGGTCAGCCGGGGAGAGCTGCTGCCATGATGGAGAGGGTCAGTGGAGCCATCTCAGCAGCTGAATTTACTAGGGATTGAGTGCAGCCTGACTCCTCTGCAGAAGGGGCTTGCTTACACATGACCTATGGCTGAATCAGAGCAGAATGACTCAAATGATCTTTATTCAAACAGAACTTTTATAAAGCCTCATAAATGACTCTTTTTAGCTTTGCTCACTAGTTTTTTTTCTGCTGTTTTAACTGCAAGGACAGCTGTTAAACTCCAGCAGCTTTAAAGAAGACATTTTTTTACACAAAGATGGGAGAGCCATCAAAAAAGGAAGAAAATGCTACAAAGCACATTCAATTGTTTGGGGGGGGGGGGGGGGAAGCCCTGGCACAACTTTCAGTCCTGGGGTAAGGCGTAAGGGACTTGCCATTCTAATTTTGAGCTAACTGTGGGCTGACCCACTGCACCAGTGTGTGAGTGCTCTGCCATTCCTTTCCCACAGGAGCGAACTAGTGCTGCATTAGTAGACAACACTTCCTGGGAAGACACTTGAAGATCACCTGGAAGTTTTGAATTGCCCCTGAACCAGAAAAAGCTGTGAGCGGTCCTCTTTTCTGTAAGCAAAACTCAAGAAGGATAACTGGCCAACCTCACTATGGCAAATTTGTCCTGCAGATGTGAACATTTTGCATTTAGCTTCTCTCAAAGGGGGAAAATTACCTCCTTCAAACAAGAAGGCAGCATTTTTTTCTCATTGTTTACTGACACTTTTC